AATTGTAGTTGGGGACTTCAATATTCTACTCTTAGCACTGTATAGATCACATAGAAAGAAAATAAACAGGTCAGACACTGTGGCTCATGCCTGTCCCAGCACTTTGGAAGGCTGAGGCTGAAATGGGTAGATCACAAGTTCAGGAATTTCAGATTAGCCAGCCTAACCAACATGGTGAAACCCCATCTCTACTAAATATATAAAAATTAGTCAGGCATGGTGGTGTGTGCCTGTAATCCTAGCTACTCTGGAGGCTGAGGCAGGAGAATCGCTTGAACTCAGAAGGTGGAGGTTGCAGTGAGCCTATATTTCGCCATTGCACTACAGCCAGGGTGACAGAGTGAGACTCCATCTCAAAACAAACAAACAAACAAACAAACAAACAAACAGAAAACAAACAAAGAAACTTGGATTTAAGCTGCACCATAGACCAAACAGACCTAACAGCCATTTAGAGAATGTCACTGAACATCTGCAAAATAACATCAGCACATGAAACATTCTCCAGAATGACAATATTTTAGGAAACAAAACAAATCTCAAGAAATTTAAAAAACTGAAATCATATCAAGTACCTTAACTGACCAAAATGAAATAAAACAAGACATCAATAGCAAGAAAAAGTATACAAAGCTATGGAAATTAAGCAACATACTGCTGAATGATCAGTGGGTGAAGGAAGAAATTAAGAATGAAAATAGAAACACAATATACCAAAACTTATGGGACATAACAATAGCAGTATTAAGAGGCAAATTTATAGCAATGAATGCTTACATCAAAAAAACTAGAAATATTTCAAACAAACACCCTTACAATGTACCTCTAGGAATTAGAAAAGCAAGAACAAACTAAACCCAAAATTAGTAGAAGAAAAGAAATGTTAACAATCAGAGCAGAAATAAACAATACAATATATTTATACAACTATAAAACAATACAAAATATTAATAAAACAGAAGGTTGATTTTTAAAAAGAAAAACAAAACCGACAAACCATTGGCTAGCCTTAGAAAAAAAGAAAGAAGACTCAAATAAATGAAATAAGCAATGAAAAAGACATCACAATGGATACCACAGAAATACAAAGGATCATTAGAGACTACTATGAACAACTACATGCTAATAAATTAGAAAACCTAGAGGAAATAGATAAATTCCTGACCATATACAATCTACCAAGACTGAACCAAGAAGAAATTGAAAACCTTAAGAAACAAATAACAAGTAACAAAATTGAATCAGTAATTACAATGTCTCCCAACAAAGTAAAGTCCAGACCTACATGGCTGAATTCCACCAAACCTTTAGATAAGAATACCAGGTCTTCACAAACTATTACAAAAAATTGAAGCAGAGAGAATTCTCCCTAATTCATTCCATTAGTTTGATTACATTAAACTAAAAATCTCCTGCAGAGTGAAGAAAACAATCAACAGAGTGAAGAGACATCATGTTGAATGGGAGAAAACATCTGTAAACTACTTATCTGACACAGAATTAATATCCAAAATGTACAAGGAACTGAGACATCTCAACAGCAAAACAAACAAACAAAAAATAAACTGATTAAAAATGGGCAAATGATCTGAACAGACATTTCACAAAAGGCAAGAAATGGTTAACAAATATATGAAAAAAAGCTCAACATCACTAATTAACAGGAAACTAAATCAAAACCACAAAGAGGTATTTTCTCATCTCAGTTAGGATGGTTATCAAAACGACAAAAATAATAAATGCTGGTGAGGATGTAGAGAAAAGGGAACTCTTTTACCCTGTTAGTGGGAATGCAAATTAGTACAACCACTGTGGAGAATAGTATGGAGGTCCTTGAAAAAACTACAAATAGAACTACTGGGAATGTATTCAGAAAAAAGGAAATCATTATATCAGAGATACATCAGCACCCCCATGTTTATTACAGCATTATTCACTATAGCCAAGATATGGAATCAACATAAGTGTCCAACAACAGACGAATACAGAAAATGTGGTATGTATATATATATATATATATGTGATGGAATACTATTTGGTTATAAAAAAGAATAAAATCCTATCAGTCATGGCAATATAGATGGAACTGGAGGTCATTATGTTAAGCGAAATAAGCCAGGAACAGAAAGTTAAATACCACATGCTCTCACTCATATCGGAAGCTAAAAAACACTGATCTAAAAAATCTGCCACCTGCACAGATATCTACAAAAAAGAAAAGGTTTCTTCCCCCCGATTTTCTTGTAATAAATGATAAATTTCCAAGTCTTTTTCACTGCTGTTTGAGCCATGTTTAGAAGAGAGTAGCTTGTCCTCTGGTCTATACTGGTTGCCGAATTTACTTGTATTCCTATTTTTGCATATGCTGCATTGAGACTTACGTATGGCAAGAAGGCATTTTTGTTGTTATTGTTGTTAAAGGAAACAAACTCTCAAATAATGAAGTGATGTAAAAGCTGCATATGCCTGCAAAGCTCTGAATTCAGGTCCCATTTCTGTCACAAACAAATGAATGTAACTCCCACCCTAATCCCTTTTTTATGTAATATAAGTGCCTTAGCATGCGTTGCAACTATCATCACTGCAGTAAGCTGGTGTACAGATGTTTTCCACTGAGCATCACAATAAAGAGTACCATGTGCTACGAAAAAAAACATAAGTTGATCTCATACAAGTAAAAAGAATACTAGGGGCTGAGAAGGATAGAGGGAAAGGAAAAATAGGGAGAGGTTTGTGAGAGGATACAAAATTACAGCTACTTCAGGAATGGAAAACCAAACATTCTATATTCTCACTTATAAGTGGGAGCTAAGCTATGAGGATACAAAGACATAAGAATGATACAATGGACTTTTGGGACTTAGAGGGAAGGGGTGGGAAGGGGTTGAAAGGGAGTGAGGGATGAAAGACTACCAACTGTGTTCAGTGTATACTGCATGGGTGATGGTTGCACCAAAATCTCACAAATCACCACTGAAGAACCAAATCCCCACAAACCTATGGAAATAATAAAAAAAAATACAAAGAAAACCCCCACAAAAAAGTCCCCAAATTACAGCTAGATAGGAGGAATAAGTTCTAGTGTTCTATACCACTATGGGATGATTCTGGTTAACAATAATACATAGTTTCAAACAGCTAGAAGGAGGCTACTGAATGTTTCCAACAGAAAGAAATGATAAATGTTTGAGATGATGGATATGCTAATTACTCTCATTTGATCACCATGTTATATGTATCAAAACATCACCATGTACCCCAATGTTATACTGAACAGAGCATAGAAAGTCAACAGCAAGACAAAAGTATGCCAAATTGCAGGGTTTATTGCCGGCGACCACGGAGGACTCACGTCTCTCCAACCCGTGGCCCCAAATGGAGGGTGACAAGACTCTTTAATACCTGTAAAACCACCTTGGGAGTGGGGGTGAGGAGCGGGGATGGAGATGAAAGGCTTCAGACATTTCGAGGGCTAGTGGATTTTGTAAATCACCTCTTGGGCCGAGACGAGGGTTTGGGGGGCGGCGCTCCGGACATTCCAAGGGCCAGGGGACTTTTGTCATTCCGATTGTTACTTAAGTGGTTTACAGAAGTCAAGGTAAACATTAGTTTATACATTATCTGGGTAGAGTGGGAATCACAGATCTTAGCTACTTATTACAAGTTGCAGGAGCCAGGATGGAATTATCTTGGGCTGCTTATTCTGGTTATTACCAGTAAGCAAAGGCTAGCAACTCTGGCAGTTACTGATAAGAGAAGGTAAGCAGCTTTACCTCTTTGCATTCTGCAAAGTAAACTAGCAGTTTTATTTACAGAAGCCGAGGTTAGCAGTCATTGTGAGGAGAATGGGGTAACTTATTTTTGGAAAACAGCTTTTGTCTTCTATAAAATGGCGTTGCTCAGGTTCCAGCTATAGCACACCAAGAATAGGTTACTTATCATTTGTCAATGAAAAAAATTTAAAAAAGAAAAAACACTACCAAGGATTAACTATCTCTTTTTCATTTTTTGTTTTCTAACTAATCATTTATTTTATTTTATTTATTTTAAAAACTTTTATTTTAGGTTCAGGATACATGTGAAGATTTGTTACATAGGTAAACTGATGTCACAGGGGTTTGTTGCACAAATTATTTCATAACTCAGGTATTAAGCCTAGTACCCAATAGTTATCTTTTCTGCTCTTCTCCCTCTTCCCACCTTCCACCCTCAAGTAGACCCCCATGTCTACTATTCTCTTCTTTGTATTTATGAGGTCTCATCACTTAGCTCACACTTACAAGTGAGAACATGTGTTATTTGTTTTTCTGTTCCTCTGTTAGTTTGCTAAGGGTAGCCTCCAGCTCCATCCATGTCCCTGCAAAAGATATGATCTCATTCTTTTTTATGGCTGCATAGTATTCCTTGGTGTATATGTACCACATTTTCTTTATTCATCTGTCATTGATGGGCATTTAGGTTGATTCCATGTCTTTGCTATTGTGAATAGTGCTGCAATGAACATTTGCATGCATGTGTCTTTATGGTAGAATGATTTATATTCCTTTGGGTATATACCCATTGATGGGCATTTAGGTTGATTCCATGTCTTTGCTATTGTGAATAGTGCTGCAATGAACATTTGCATGCATGTGTCTTTATGGTAGAATGATTTATATTCCTTTGGGTATATACCCAGTAATGGGTTGAGTGGTAGTTCTGCTTTTAGTTCTTTGAGGAATCTCCATACTTCCTTCCACAATGGTTGAGCTAATTTACATTCCAACAAACAGTGTATAAGTGTTCCTGTTCTCTGTAACCTCACCAACATCTGTTATTTCTTGACTTTTTAATAATAGCCATTCTGACTGGTGTGAGATGGTATCTCATGGTGGTTTTGATTCACATTTCTCTAATGAGCTCTTTGTAATTAGTAGAATAGTTGCATGAGAAATAAATGAAAGTTACCTAAGAGAGGACTGAAAGTTTCAGAGAGAATTTTAATTGTAATTTGTGTTTACCTGGTAGTGATATGCAGGTTGCTGATAAATGGGCTGAGCTACCATCACAGGGGAGCTGCATATAGAACGTGACTATGAGAAGATGGAAAAAATAGAAAAATTAGGCAGAAAACTTTAAAATAGCTCACAATAAAATTTATCTCAAATTATTTCCTAAACCCAGTCAACTTCTGGTTTATGATTACAAATGTTATTTTTCTACCTCTTATTGTTATTATTACCAACTCTACTAAGTCTCTTTATTAAAATCATCACAGTATCCTTACTTCCATTTGGTTTAATTTCCATAGTAATGCTAAAACAACCACCAGAAAAGTTGCTTTTCCAACTTTTTCCTCCAAAGATTATGAAAATATAGTTCTAAGAGAATACTTAGAGGAAAATGACAGCAACACTTAGGCTGACACTGCCTGTTTCCATTGTGGGGACCAGCAGTAAACAGTTAATGTATGTAATATCATTTAGAACTGAATGAATAGTCGTAACTAATTTTCCCACTAGTTACAAATAATCAATGTTCTATTCCTTTGTTACACATATAATTAAAGCAAAGACATTTTATTTTTATTTTAATAATTTGACATTTAAATGAGTTAATAGGTTGATAAACGAATAAGTGAAAAATCTATGTCTGAAAAAAGTACAGGTAACACTTGATTATTCAAAGTGATCTTTCACTTTTTGGGCTTACTCTTTTAAGCCCCAAAACAGATTATTTAAAACCAGATCATTAATAAAATAGGCAAGTTGTATTGCAAGATAGTAAAACTGGCTCTAATACAGCAATTAAAGTTCAGTCTCTAATGTGGGATCTAACTTGTATTGTTTTAAGCTTCAGACCCCGAAGACTGAAGAAAAGTATCATAGTTTTGTACAATTCACACACTATGGTATGCTAATAAAACTGTATCACAGATTAACATTAGAAAATAATAATGTAATTTGCTATATTAATAGATTAAAGGAGAAAAATTATAATTTCAGCAGAGACAGAAAATGTATTTGTTAAAATTCCATACCTTTTTATGATTAAAAACTCTTAAAAAATAGTAGAAAGTAGCTTCCTTAATTTATTTAGGGCAGTAACTCTCAACCATGAATGATTTTGTCCTCTAGGGAACATCTGGCAATGTTGGGAGACATTTTTGATTGTCATAACTATGAGGAGCCTAGGGATACTTCTAAACATTCTACAGTGCACAGGACAGTTCCTCAACCAAGAAATCATCTGGCTCACAATGTCAACAGTGCTGAGATTGAGAAATTCTGGTTAAGAGTATCTTCCAGAACCTACAAAGTATGCGTGTGTGTGTGTGTCTTTTTCTGTATGTTTGTGTGTGTATACATATATATATGCATATGTATGTATTTATATGTATATATACATAGATTTTTCACTTATAAATTTATCATATGTATGTATATGTATATGCACACATGTAAAGCTTAATGGTGAATCACTGAACTTGCTTCCTTTTTCAAGAACAAGGTCATGATGTTTTCACTCTATCAATACTATAGCAGAGACACTATCAGTGCAAAAAACTCCAGGAAAAAAAGAAGAGAAAGAATTAGAAGTATACCGAATCATAAATAAATTATAAATGAGAGTTTGGCAGGGTTGCTGATACAATATCAATATTGAAAAATCAAGAGCATTGCTATACATCAGCTATAATCTATTAGAAAACATGATTTAAAAAACAGCTTTCATGAAAGCAACAAAACTATAGTGCACTAAGAATAAATTCAAAAAAAGATGTGTCAAGCTTTTTCATGGAGAAAGAAAATGTTTTTTATGAATAGAAGTAAAAGAAGACAAATAAATGGAGAGATGTGTCATGTTCAGGGATATAAAGAGTCAATATTTTAAAATACTGAAATGTCCTAAGTTATCCACACTATTTAATGTAATTCTAATAAAAAAAGGGCTTTTCACATAACTAAACAAGCTGAATTATAAAATGTGTACTTATAAAAGCAAAGACATAAGGATAGATGAGAGAATCCTGAAGAAGAACAAAGTCCTTTAAGATTTCAAGACTCATTATAAAGTCAAAATAATTAGAATTGGGCAAGGCAAACAAATATCCCAATGGAACAAAATAGCAGGAAAAAGACCCATACACATGGAAACTTAGTATTTGGCAGAGGATTAATTTCAAAATAGTAGGAAACAGATGAATTAGTTAATACGTAAATTCAAGATTTAAGATCTGGCAGTGAAAAGTGGCAATAATATAGAATTAAAAATAAAAAATAGAATAGCTATATTCTTGTAGTAAAAAATAAAAACAAGAAGAAAAAAGTCTTGTAACAAAGAGCAAAAAACCAATAATTTTTTATGAGAAAAAAAAAGAGTTAATGGACAAGCCACAAACTGGAAGAAGATATTGACAACCCACAAAATTCATGTAATAAACTCAAGATTAAAAACAAATCACCCCAAAAGAAAAATGGACAATGGATATGAACAGGCAGCTCACAGAAGAAAGTGGAATGACCATAAATATACAAAAATATATTCAATATTACTAGAAGTTAGACAAATAAAAATAAAACAAAATGCCACTGCATAAAATAATATTGGTATAAATGTAAAAATCTGGTAATTTTAAGGGTTGGCAGCTTATGGAAAAATTGGGGCTGTCATAAACTGTTGGCTAGGATTTCAAATAGCTTTCAAAAGCTGTTTGGCAACATCTAGTCAAAGATGTGCATACTTCATGAATGTGAAATCCTATGTGTATATCCTTGCCTAGATCAAGGTACATTAGGGAAGCACAAAAATTTTTCCAGTAATACATGGACATGAATAACTTTAAGAGTACCAATTTTCAGATTCTAAACTTCATATGTACTCCTTTCTGATGTGATCCACCCATGATTGTGTCTGTGTAACATGGATTCTTCTTTTAAAAACTCCACCTTCACCATCACTCTTTTGCTTCCCTAAAGAAAGGCATATTTCTCACTTCTGGATCTTGCTATAATGCTATTATATAATAACAACAGGGCATCAAACAGGCACCCAACTCAAGAGGGCAATACCCTGAGAAATGAGAGATGGCAAAGCAGAAAGAGTTTGCATAAGAAATATTAAAGGAGAGATGATACTATTTTATCTAGGGAACAAACTTAAATTAGTTGAAGATCACATGGATATATATTAGTTCATTTATTTGAGTTTAAAAATAAAGTTAGAATTTTCTAATAGAAAGTTTTATTCAGTAGTTTTATTTGGTTGACTGGTTTTGTTAACTGAGTTATAAAGCAGATACTTTCCACTATTAAAATAAGCTAAATTTACAGATACAAAGTTTTAATGAAAATATATAAATCCATAATATACAATATTCATAAACTATTTAAACTACAATAAATTCCAGATAGCAACTTAAACATGAGTGAGTGTACTCATACTATTTCAAAAAATTTATATAAGAGAATTTATATAATAAGCAAAAGCTTAGAAAAATCACTGCTCTAGAAAAACTCTCACATAATACATATGAGATCTGGATATTCAATGTAGCCTTGTTTGTAGAAAAAACTTAAAATGTCCATCAATAGAAGAATATAAAAAATTGTAATCTACTCATACAGTGGAATGTTATAAAATATTTAAAAAGGTCAATTAGATATATAAGGATCAACATGACACAATCTAAAAAGAGATAAACATGGTTTACTAAAAAATATGCTGAGTATAAAAACCAGATTATTTGTACAATATTTAAAAACCACAAAGCAATACTATATTTCATTTATGAATACATATATTTATAATAAAAATATCTAAAATGAATAGGAAAGATATTCTGCTTACTTCTGAAGAGGGAAAGAGGGTAAGGAGGTGGGGTTAAGGAGAACTGGCCTGAAGCTGTCTTACTTTATTTCCCATTTTAAGAACTTGAGTAAATATGGCAAAATGTTGATGTCTATTAAATTTTGTTTGTAGAGATGTGTGTTATATATATGTAATTATCTGTTGTTGAAATATTTCAGAAATAAAGCAAACATTAAAAAATTGGCAGTAATAGATGGAAATCCTTTTTAAATGAAATTACTTACAGGCCAAGGTGGTGGGACAGAAGTTACCTCTGGAGTATGAAAATAAGCAACACCATTATGATAAGTATAAGGATACCCAGTTGAAGTTGTTAGATACATCGTTCCAGCTGCTGGCATTATACTAGAACCTAGAGCAAAGATTAAATAATAATAATTAAAATGTCCAATTTAACTGTTAAAACTAGTTTCTAAACCCATCATAAAAATATTTATCTTAATAAACCTATGTGGCCATAGTAAAAATTGGATGACACAGGTATTTAAAAAAAATTCCTTACGTCAAAGTATCTTTGAAGCACGTATTTTTAAACTCAATACTTTAAAGCTTTTAGTTTAAGGTGATTAAAAGAAAAGATGAATAATACTAACAAATACTAAAAATTTATCAGTTCAGATTCCAACACCAGTATAATGTTACACAGAGCTTAACAATTTAGATTATCATCAGCAAGGTAATTATTTGTACAAACATAAATTATGTATAATTTAAAGTTACTTGAAGACTACATACACTGTACTCAAGTTCCTCAGGTTTGGCTAGACCTTTTATTTCTGAAAGTCCAAAGATGATGGAGGCAGTAAAGTTGGAGAAGATTCTACTTTCCTGAAGACATTTTGGTTCCACCCTACTAATTCTTTGGCTATCCTACCAGCAAACATTCATTCATGCTATGGCTCTCTTTTATCTTTCTTTTCTATGATATATTTTCTATCTACTCTCCTGTTGCTACAATGGCTGCTGTTGCAAACATGACAGCTAGTCTGCATGTGGCTAGTCTGGGGTCTTCATCTCTTTTTCCAGGCTAAGTTATATAACCACCTCCACCAAACCAAAAAATAATAAATAATAAACATATATACTTTTTGTCATGGAGGAGACTTTAAAAGTTAAATTAGTCAAATTAGATTAGGGTCTTAACCAGCAAGGTTATACAAATTAGTGAAACTGACAATGCTTCTTTCACCAGTGCTTCTCAAAATTTCACATAAATTAAAATCACCTACATTGCTTATTAAAATACAAATTCCAGGGACTTACCTTAAGAGATTTTGAATCAGTAAATCTGGGACAGGGCCTAAGAATTTGCATTTTGACAGCTTCCAATGAACTGACACTGTCTGCAAACCACACGTTAAATAGCACCAGCCTACCACATTGTAATACTATTGCTCCTCAGCTTTTATATTTTCACTGTATTTGATCTAGTATTGTTATTATTTTAATGGTTCTTAATTAGATCCTTTTGAATATTCGATGAAAGCCAGGGACCTTTTACTCAGATACATATACAAACACAATTTTATACACAATTCAGGAGGTCCATGGATTCCCCCCAAAAGATAATCAGTGAACCATGCTAAATAAATAAGTAAATTTTCAGTCCATACTATTTCAAGGCATGAACTGGGACCTAGTGATACAGCAAAAAAAATTAAAAAATTAGACATGGCATGGGTCTGTATCCTCAAAGAAGTTACAACTAATGACTAAAGACAGTCATTAGTTAATTACACAATCAATTATATACAATTTTGATAAATACATGAGGAGTCACTATAAAGTACAATACTGAACATTCCAATTATTACACATATAAAACCTATGTGAAATCTCTCTATATGTAAATATATATGGAACATTTGTGATAAAATGATGTTTCAGCTAAGCTCTAAAGAATGAAGAGGATGGCAAAGAATATTCTAGGTAAAGAAAACAGAATATTACATTCCGAGAACAGGAATATAGTATGTTCTGAAACTGAAAGAAGGCTAGATGGCTAAAGCATGGAAAGAAAAGGGAACAATACCTCAAAATAAGCTGAGCATCAAACAATTAGAGGTGCACTTTTGAAAGATCACTCTGGCTGCCTTGTGAACAATGGATTGGAAGGTAGATGGATTGGATTTAGAAAGACCACTTAGGATAGTTTTCCAGGAATTAAGGTAAGCAAAGTTGTTGGTTGGGACTTGGGTGTTGGTAATGGAGATTGGAAAAAAATGACAGATGTAAGAAAAAAACTAAGATAAGAATCCCTTATTTGTAAATGTACTTTTAATACCTATTTTTCTTTGGAGAAAAGTCAAAAGAACTTTGGAGTCAAACAGTCCTGCATTTGAAGGCTAATGCTACCACTCACCGTTAGGCAAATGCAAGTTATACATGATTTTAAAAATAAACCATGAGAAAATTTGCAATTCTAGTATGCTGCAGTGGGTTAGGAACCACAACATGCCAAGATTAACTCTCCTTTACCTTTAGGAGTACTTCAGCAGAAACATTTTTAAAACAATGACTTTACCTTTTTGAGATTGAATTTTCTATTTACAAAAATAGAATACTTCATGGGTTTCTATGAAGATTAAATGAAATAAATGAAAACCCATAACACTGACCCTTGCACTAAATAGTTTTTGAAAAACTATTTGTATATTTGAAAGCATTCAGCATAGTGCTGATTTATTTTCTATTTTAGCAACCGGTGAATCATACTATGAACATTTCTATTTAGTGGTGATTGCTGGTGATAATGGGCTAAAGGACCATTACCGTATGTTCTAGCTTAACCTTTGCAAGTAACAACAGTAGTCTGAAAATATTCAGCATTCTGCCATATTTAGTGCATTTCATTTTGTAATAACTTATTGGAGATACTTTGTCTCCTAAATTAACAAATACTAAGTCAAAATTAAACTTAACATATGTTAATCTCTTTTGTTGTAGTTGTGGCAATGTTTTAAACATCCCCGTAGACACTAGGATTTGGCTATGGGAAAATAAGTTAGTTACTAATTTTACATCACATTTCTCCTTCTAGTCAAACAGTGTTTAAGATTTTAATAAATATTAAAGGTAAAAAGTTAACTATAAAGATGCTAACCTAATAAATAGAGTGAGGAAAAAATAATAGAATTGAAATCATTAGAGAAATTTGAGGAAAGTAGATACATCATTTAGCTAATTCCTAAAGCTCTAGGATTGTCCTCCCTGAAAATTATGACACACCTGGCTGGGTTACAGTACATAGCATGCATCAAGTTTCTGATATTAGTTCTATGCTTTCACTTTCAATGTTTTTACTCTGATTAATTTTAAATTACTTTCTGATTAAAATTTTTCTTATTAGTAAGTCTAAATTATTAAATTACTTCTAATTACTTTTGCTATTTTAAATGATATTTTCATCATAAAAGATTTTTCCTTTAATGCTGTAACTATATGAAATATACTTAAGCATACACAAAAAATGTGTATATACATTTTTTTCCCCAGCCAAAAAAAACTGAGATATGTTATTTTGTGGCAAAAAATATTCATTTCACCACCAACTTTGTTAAAATAATGTTATTAAATGAAAGAAACATGATAGTTTAATAAAGTTCTATAAAAAGTCTAATATTTCAAAAAAGAACCATGCAAAAATATTTAAAAATACATTAGGTCTCAATACATACGAGAGATCCCTACTTGTTGTTTTCTTATTGCTGGACCAATATTCAGCTTCTTATCCTTATAATTAAGTTTTTCAGCCTAAAATAAAGAAAAAAGAAATTATTTTATTATTTTAGCACTATTATTTATAAAATCAATAAGGAAAAACTAGTTTGAAAGAATTTCAAAAATTCAGACTATAACATTCTTTGAAAGCAGCAAGGAATAGTGGGAAAGAGCAGTCTTCAGATTGAAATAGATCTGGTTCTGACTGCAAATCCTCATTTGTAATACAGTCAATCCTTATTAGTCATGAATTCTGTATTTGTAAATTTGTCTATTTGCTAAAATTTATTTGTAACCCTAAAATTAATATTTGTGGCAATTTTGAGGTTATTAGTGGACGTGCAAAGTAGTGAAAAATTTGAGTAGCCTGATGCACATGCTCTCAGCTGAGGTCAAATAAGGCGATGTTCTTTCTTCTTGTTCCAGTGCTCATACTCTAAGAGAGAGCTTTCTGTTTAGTGCCATGTTTTCTCGATTTTTGTGCTTTTTGTTGGTGATTTTGCTATTTAAAATGGCTCCCATGTGTGGTGCTGAAGTGCTGGCTAGCACAAGAAAACTGTCATAGGCCTTATGGAGGAGATATATATTAGATGTGCTTAATTCAAGCATGAATTATAGTGCTATTGGCCATGAGTTCAATGTTAATGAGCCATTAATCTATTATATGTGACGCCTTTAAATGGAAAAACACATGAAACAAGGTTATATATTGATTGGTTGACAGCAATATTATGACCAGAGGTTCTTGGGAACCTTACCCTGTATTTCCCCTAGAAAGAGTAGTTCAATATTTGCTAATTCAGTGTTCCTAGTAATGTTATAGAATAGAACATAACTGCCACAAATAACAAGAATTGACTGTATATGATTCAAATTCAAATTTTACTTTTTTTTTTTAAAAAATTAAATGCTATATTTGCCTTAACTTAAAGTTATTATACTGAATTACTGGTTATAGACTTTTTTTTCTGTGAATATTCTTAGTTTATAAAAAGTTTTTCACAGGAGAGAAATCATTTCAGATAACCTCACTGTTGGATTTCATGCTTACAGTGTTTTTTAAACATTCAAAATGCTATTAACACTTGGCAAAAGACATATTCCCAAGTTCTTAGTTTAAACAAATAAAGTGAAACATTGCATTACAATTTCACAACCATACTTGCAATGATTTTGGAATTTGCTCTTCTGCAGATAAAGTTTCCTAGAGACCAGTGCCAATCTTAAGATGCAAAATTTTTAAAAAGCAATTGATTATTGTATTTGACCCATGAAAAGATTAGTTTCAAATAAAAAAGTTCCAGAAATAAAGTTAAATACACCAAAAGATCATACCTCTTGTAAAATTTTTTGTGCATCTTCTTGTGTTTCAAAAGTGATGAAACCATACCTAAATAACAAGGATTATTAATTATTACTAATTAATCATTTTCTTGGAATGTTATATTAATTATATCAAATTAAAAAAAAATTTGTTTTTAAATAGTGGGCCATTGTCAGAGTAAGCATCTTTCTATGCTGCACCAGTGTGGGAATTTAGAAGGATCATTCACAGCTTAACACTATCACCTCCTTTTAGAGTCAGGGAACCAAAAGGAAAAAAAAAACCCCTGAGATCTTTGAAACAGCTTCAGCTCTGGCGCGGTGGCTCACGCCTGTAATCCCAGCACTTTGGGAGGCCAAGGTGGGTGGATCACGAGGTCAAGAGATCGAGACCATCTTGGTCAACATGGTGAAACCCCGTCTCTACTAAAAATGCAAAAAAATTAGCTGGGCCTGGTGGGCGCGTGCCTGTAATCCCAGCTATTCAGGAGCCTGAGGCAGGAGAATTGCCTGAACCCAGGAGGCGGAGTTTGCAGTGGGCCGAGATCGCACCATTGCACTCCAGCCTGGGTAACAATAGCGAAATTCCATCTCAAAAAAAAAGAAAAAAAAGAAAAAAAAGAAAAGCACAAGAGATTCATGATGTGGCTTCAAAACTGGGATGCAATAAATTTAAATCCAGAGCAATAATCTCCTTTTAAGTTAACAGAAGTTTGGCTAAGAGAAATCAAAGTAGAAAAATAACTTTAAAAAATTAAAAATTTCAACATAAAATTTCTTATATTGGCGAATGACTGTAAATGTATTTGATTACCACTATTAACACATATAATTGATAATGTAATTATTAGTATACTTTCCAGACAATATCAATTAACATAAAACCCAGATTTCATGCTTTTCTTTTTTCTTTCTTTTTTATTTTTTGACATGGGTCTTGCTCTGTTGTCCAGGAGGGAGAGCAGTGATCTTGGCTCACTGCAACCTCTGCCTCCTGGGTTCAAGCGATTCTCCTGCCTCAGTCTCCTGAGTAGCTGGGACTACAGGCACATGCCACCACACCTGGCAATTTTTTTGTATTTTTAGTGGAGATGGAGTTTCATTATGTTAGTCAGGATGGTCTTGATCTCCTGACCTTGTGATCTGCCCGCCTTGGCCTCCCAAAGTGTGGGATTACAGGCATGAGCCACCGCACCTGGCAAGTTCATGTTTTTCATTCACGGCTACCTTCAAGCACAATTCATATAATGTTCAAGACACAAATACACATAAATGATGTGCTCCATGTCCAAAAAGCCAAAATAGGTAGAGAAAAAAGAAAAAGTGTATTTCTCAAAGCATAATTGCTATTTAGATAACTTAGGAAAACTCTTCTAAGTAATGCTAAATATCTTCTCTACTATTTTCTTCAATTCATAATTACTGCATCATATATAAAGTTTCTTCTTTTAAAGAAAGAAATTTCTCTTTATTTATTTGCCCAAATATTAAAAAGTTAAGGAATTATTTTTAGACTACTTTTTTTTGGTAGAACGCACACACCACCCAGTGGGAAAGGCACAAAATACAGTTTACATTTTCATGTGTGTTTTTCAATGATAAAAAGTGGATATTACCAAAACATTCAAATTCTGTTAGTCAAACAAAAGCAGTAAATCTCATTTCATCTTAATATTGTCTGGCATTCTGAGGATATATCTCATCTGTTTAAAAATAACCTTTCTATAGAATCCAATCTCTTTCAGAGTCTATCTGTTGAATGCTGTTTCTCACTAATACCACCTCATTGGGTCTCTTCTCTTATGCTTGTAAATATGTATGTCTTGCCTCTTTTCAAAGAAAATAAATGCAATCCTTTACTGCCTTATCTATTTTCTTTAACTTTGCAGTCCAACTCCTTAAGTGAGTACACTATGCAAACTACCTTTTTCCTTTCTGAAATTTGGCTTTGTACACATAGCAATCCACTAAAATAGCTCTATACATTTAAAGACACATTCAAATGCTTTCTTCTCAATTTTCATTCTCATTGATATGGCTATTAAAATCATTCTCATTAGAATTATATTTCTCACTTTGGTCCCCTAATTAGATCTCCAAGGCACAACCTACAGACATTTCTTGGTGTCAGCTGTTTTCAAATAAAGCTCTCTATAGCCTAAAGCAGGGTTATAATTCCAAAAGAATCTCATTCCTTTAGCTTCTGGCTCCTCAGCTAATGTACATCTGCTACTCACATTAAGTGCTTGCTGCCTAACACTAAATGGTCCCTCCACCCATGCAAGAATAGCTTCCCAACAAATTAAGAAATATTAGTGTCTTCTCCCTCCAAAATACACACATATGCACACATAACACACACACACACACACACATGAAATAGGAAATCAAAAGGTGAGAGGAAAGAAGAGGGCATGATAGTCTCTACTGGAAAATGGAACCAAAGTAAATTAGCATACAAACCCTAGTAATACAATAAAAATAGAGTTGTTAATTCTATATGTAATCTATAGTGATACTAACCCTTTGGATACTCCAGCTCTGTCATTTACAATCTTCACTTCTTTCACAGATCCATACTGGGAAAAAAATTTTCTTAAATCACTTTCATTTGTCTAATGGCATAAAAAGAAAAAAACATTTTTTAATTGATAAAAGATGAATAATTCTTATGCTTGCTCTGGAGACAGAAAGGTATAGATAAGATGCATAAAAAATGCCTCTCCTCATCAAAACAGTGCATAAACCACTAGGTGATTAAAATCAATGTAAATACCTTGCTTTATGCAATAGCTATGTTGTTAAATTAGTATATGTCAATAAAAAATTTAAGCTGAATTATTTTAAAACCACAATGCTCACTGTTTAAAGAAATCTTTAAATGATTCTTGTTCTCTAGCTGGCCAGTTTTTAAAAAACCAATTTGTATTAGGAATGCTATTTCCATAGTTAGGGTATATTACTGTTGGCTCTTGTGGCTCAGAGAATCTGACAGTCATGGCAGTGGAAGTAGGTTGTGTTGGCCTACACCAGTCATTCTATTTTAATCAGTAGTCTCAGGAACTCCTTTCCTAAGTCAGGTTTTAGGAAAGGAATGTATTTCCAAAAGTGCTTGAACTCAACTGTGAGAACAATAGAGTAGTGACTGTAAGATTTAAAGTTATTAGATTCCTTATCTGTACTCAACATGTATTTCAGCTAAATTCAGACATTGTTTTGATATTAAAAATAAATATTGAAATCATATTAATTTAAACATACAGGGTATCTACAAAGATGGTTTTGGCATATCTGGTTTTTTAATTGAAAGAGTCTGATAGACTCACGTCACCTTTTCCCAGAATACTGACACTAAATTCACTGCAATTTCATTTTCTAATTTAGCTGCTACTGTTTGTCTCCAAGAGTAACTTTTCTTTAGAAAAAAATTTCTTTATATACACTGGAAAAAGACATGCCCTAGAGCAGAGCTATGCCTTTTGAGTTCAACTACTAACTCACTACTTACATACACTACTGGTTTTTAGTTGGTAACATAAAGCCTACTAAGCTGGATAATGACAAATACTGATTTAAGAAGAATTAAATACCTTTTATTTCAGATAACAGAAAATGAAATCAATGCTAGAATAAGGATTGTTATTAGATATTTGAATACAAATATTAATTTGTATTAATTACAAATACAATTTGTATTAATAATTCTACCAGCTATTCTCTGGTAGAATAATTACTAGCTCAATTTTGTAGCTCCACTTCTTCAGTGACAATGGGATAGTCAAGAAAAATAAGCATTAAGAGAGATGGTTTGCTTCTAAAAATTAAAGGTTAAAACGACTGTGACTACTTGCTATTAGAGTAAACTATTTCTTTCCTGGCCTTTATCTGTGGTTTTGAAAAAGGTGCAAGTATAGAGGAGGGAACCCTAGCAGTTACCCTAAAGCTATGGCTGCATTATAACACTGTCTCCAAAGTTCATGCTGTAGCTGATGGGTTCCAGTAACCTAAAATAACCTGACCATACAAATGTTTATATTTATTGATAACTTATTTTTAAAAACATGCTGAGTTATTGTAATATAAATGAATTCCCAAATTGAATATTTCTGCCAGCCATTAGTAGTTTCCACAGATACAGAAAATCCTTTTAAGAATAAACATTTTATAAGAAATAATTTTTCTTACTTTATTTTTAGTGAAACAACCATACACTTGTTTAAGACTCATTGTTTTGGCAAATACACTAAATGTAACATATCTCTTGTGCAGGAAAAAAGAAATTTCACCCAAATTGTAACAGATTGATTATATGGAAATAGTGAGTTATAAATGTCAAAATGTCACACCTAATGGTACAAAGAAGGCTTTCTTTTTTTTTTTTTTTAAAAAGATAACTCTCCCTATAATTTCTAATATGTAAAACAGAAGCTTGGAAATTCTTCTATACATTCATTTGAAAGTAAGGGTATTCCACTTAAAATATCAATGCATGCCTTTCTTGTAGGTGTTTACTATTACCTCCCACATGCAGGGGCGGGGCATGCTGCACATCTCATGAACTATGCTTCCTTGAAAGAGAGGAATGGCTAATTACATGACATAAATATATTACTTTTTAAAAAACGTTCATTTTAGGTTTGGGATACATGTGCAGATTTGTTATAAAGATAAACTTGTCATGGGGGTTTGTTGTACAGATTATTTCAGCACCCAGGTACTAAGTCTGATACCCAATAGTTATCTTTTCTGCTTAAATATATTATCTTTTTTTTTTTTTTTGAGATGGAGTCTTGCTCTGTTGCTCAGACTGGAGTGCAGCAGTGGCATGGTGTCGGCTCACTGCAACTTCTGCCTCCGGGTTTCAAGCAATTCTCCCTGCCTCAGCCACCCAAGTAGGTAGGATTACAGGCGCCTACCACTGCAGCCAGCTAATTTTTTGCATTTTTCAGTAGAGACGGGATTTCACCATGGTGACCAGGCTGGTCTCAAACTCCTGACCTCAGGCGATCTGCCTGCCTCGGCCTCCCAAAGTGCTAGGATTACTTTTAAGATGCTTTATTCTGACAAGGACACAGGACTTTTTTGGTGATAAATCCTAAATTCTAACATAGAAAGTACTTTGCAAAGAATAGAAGCCTAGGAGGTTGCTCAGGAACCTGAGATAAGAGTTGGGATAAAGAAATAGGATTTCATAAAACGAAGTTTTTTAAAAATGGAGTCTGTTTAGAAAATTATAATCATCATTATTTTGGCTATTGGAGTATTAGGCAAGAAAGTATAATTTATTCTGGTATGGAAGAGTGTGGAGCTATAAGACAGAAAACCATACTTCCAGTACGAAACTAGAAGAATGTACTAGTTTCCAGTACATTCTGGAAACAGTACTCCACTATAGAGATCTTAAATATTACATATATTACTTAAAATGCTTAAATAGCTCCTTAAAAGGCTAAGGAGCCTATAGCAAGTCAATGAGGCTCAATTTCCTTGTATTTGAACTTGAATGTACCTACATGCTGGTTGAAAAGACTCTATATTAAGACAATTTGGCATTTATTAATCATTATGCAAATATGTTATTATTTTACAGTTGCACAAGAAACAATTTCTGAGAACTAAAGACTTGTAACAAAAAAATACACTTTACTGCATGCATAAATAGGTACCTTAAAGTCAATTCCTCCTACAAAGATGCGATTAGGGATCACTGTTCCATATCTTGGGGCGCTTGTTGGGTTATTCAAAGGCACAGGTGACACAGGATTAGAGGATGGAGATAACGAATCTGTTTGTATCTGATTTGATGTTTGCTGTAAAATAAGATTCTTTTAAACTTTCAGCACTGGGTACAATGTAGTCTGCTTTTGATGAAGACTGAAAACATTTATCTTTCAAAAAAGGAGTCATTTAGGCAAAATACAGTATTCTAGACTTTGCTTTTAATATTACAAAAATTATAATTAGAGATAAGAGCTTTTTAGAGCAACAGAACTAGAGAACAGAATGTACTTCACTATAGAGATTTTAAATATTAAATATATTACTTAAAATGCTTATATTATTATCAAACCTATTACTTGAGTATCAAGGGGAATATTAAGCTCGTCAAGATGTTTGAAAAAAAGAAAAGCAGTTCCAGCCTGACACAATCAAATAGGCCCTGGTGTTGTTAGGAATTGGCCTGGCACTCACAGCTAGGCTGTGGTGTTCTCTTGTTAACAGAACACCACTACCAGTCAAAGTCACCCTGTGATCTGATGGATGAAATTAAAAACAAGACCACTTCATAATCATGTTCGAATGCTGACAAAAACAAAGGCATTGCCCATACCACAAGAATAATCAAACATCCCCCTATTCTGGATGATAAGTGACTGCTCTTTCTTTATAGTTTTAGTCTCAATCCATTTTTGCTTGCCTTTTAGATAAAAGTTAACACATCCAATCATAGAATTACTACCATTTCCTGACAACATGCTTTCCTGAGTAAAGCTCTACTTAAACCCTCTCTAAAAATCATTCAACACAAGCCTATAACCTACAAGTTCTAACACCCTCTGACTGAGAGGCCCTATAGTTTTTATTTTCCCTTGTTTGAACAATTAGCAGACCCAACTTTATAAGGTGATGTATATATTCCTGGTGGTCTTTAACTAATGGTCATTGCCAAGTTAATAAACTCTGACATTCACATTCACCATTTTCATCCTGAAAGTAAAATTTTAAATGCATTTGTCAATTTGAAGATTGGACTGATTTTGTTAAATATTATATACTTATAGCTAATAAATGTTTATTCCAAAGAATTAGTTCAGTATCTATCCATATGTTCTCAATTCTAAGTTACAGGACCTAATTTAAATTTTAATAAATATATATAAATGTGTAAACCTTTGCAGAATGGTAAGATATATTTTAAGGTATAATTGAAAAAAAAAAGACTTGAGAATTATGTTGGAAACCAATTCAAAAACTTGTGAATTATTTTCCATTTGGAAACAGTAAACAGACTTCTTGGACAGTCTAATATACTAAATGTATGCTTCAAAAAACTTGAAGTAAACTGGGTTTTGTGGCTTGTACCTATAATCCCAGGAGGCTGAGGCAGGAGGATTGCTTGAGGCCAGGAGTTCAAGACCAGCCTGAGCAACAAAGCAAGATCCTGCCTCAAAAAGAAGAAAAAGAAAATAACAAAAAAGCTTGAAGTTCATAATTCCAATTCTCCGAGAAACAAACACATGAAAATGAGTTTCCAGGTAATAGAGTTGTTCTTTTTCAAATTTGTCCTGCTCTTTCTTCTCTGGCCAATAAAACCACAATCCCTAAATTAATCTCTGCAAGATGTACAAAGAAATGACTAGGGCAGCAGTGGCAAGTAGGCTATAGGCGAGACCTTATGGGCTCTCTTCCTCCTCCAGTTAAGAAAGTATGTATTCCCAATGAGGAATATGTAAATACTTCTCTTAAAACATAGAAAAGCCACCACATTTAATAATTACTATGTTGTAGTTTCCAATTAAAAAAATTGGGACTCTAATCTTAACAGCTTTCTCTCAGGGCACTTGCAGGTTATTATTGGCTTCAGTCACTTTGCTCAGTAGGATATAATGCTCAGAATGGGTAATTCCGGAATGCTTAGTACTGTTCAACTGTTGATTTTGTGTTTCTAGAGATAATATAACAGCTCTATGCCCATTTGTTTACAGTGTCAAAATTACCTATTTGCTAAAGTAAAAAAACCATTCTTCATGAAATTCTCTTACTGAAAATAAGACGAATAAGATGAACTCATTTGTTCTCAAGTTTAAGTAAGGGACAAACCCCATCATATTTCATTGAGAGAGGGATGAAATGAATGGAAGTAAACAGTGCTTTATTTCCAGTCTCGAGAAACTAAAGGATACTCCCTGAGAAAAGAAAAACAACCTTTTACACTCAATCCACTTCATCCTCCTCTGCTCTCTAAGGCTCCTGGTCTACTGTGGGCTCAAACTGCTTAATTTTTCTCCCTCATCATTTTCTAACATACGATATAATTTACTTATTATGTTTATTTTCTGTCTCTTTCCACTATTATGTAATGCATCTAAGGCACTTTTGCATTTTTCTATGCAGCATCTAAAGTACTGACAGTACACAGCAGGTGCTCAATGAGTATCTGTTGAATGATCAAATGAGTGAATCATTTCTTCAGGACAGACCTGCTCATGATATGCGAAATAGGCTGCGGGCTAAAAAATACAGTGTAATAGCAGTCTACAAAATATTTTATGTTAAGCAATAGCAAGGCTCAGGTACAGGCAACATCTAAGTTCATTAGAACCAATTAGTGATATATTTGAGTTAAACAACAAAGAAAGCCTGAAATGCCACTAGCAATAATTCCTCAAGTGTCATGGAAGCACTTAGATGGGGACTGCAGTGGGGTTTGAAGGGTCCTCCGCTTGCTAAAACCTCCAGCACTAAAGAGTTTATTAAACGTCTCCTCCAAAGCAATGTGCCCTCACTGCCTCCTCCCCTTGAGAATCAACCTCGAGATCTAGCAACTATTTTGCAAACGCAGACAGCAGGAACAGGGCGGGCTAACCGTCGCAGTCACGGCTTCGGTGCTCCTCCCCCTCCAAGGCCAGCAAGTTGAGGCACTGGGAGAAATGGCCGCGGCGACAACTTCCTCGAATTCTCTGGGGTCATCGTGAACTTGGGGACCGACACGAGGATCCACCCCCTCCCCACCAAAGTGCGGGAGGGAAAAGAAAGCGAGCCAGCGAGAAATTTTGCCCGGCAAATCCGCCAGTAGCAGCGGCGGGAACCCTCAACGGCGCCGACCCATACTCAGGCCTCGTGCGCAGCTGACCCCCACCCTTGTGCGGCGCGCTCTGATTGGCTGCTGGCGTCAGGGCGGGGCGGGGCGGCACGTTGCCCCTGCTCCTCAGGCCTGTCCTGGCCGCCCTCCCTCACTTCCCCGAGTCCGCCCTGACAGACTCTGGCACGCAGCCAGTGCTAGAGTGTCCGGGTCCCAACTGGGCTAAAGCCTGCCCCTATCCCCCACCCCAGGTCTCTCAGACCTTCCGGTCTTCGCTGACTAGTCCGGTAGTGGAGGCGTCGACCGCCCTGGCAACTCCTCGCCTTGGGCGGCTGGGTAGAGTTTGGCCAGAAGGAGCGTCAAAGATGCTGTCGAGCCCAATTTCGGCGGGAAAGTGGTTTATCTGCTCGGACTCCGCTGGGTGCCCGGCTGCCCGCCGCCTCCAGAAACATCCGCGTCTGAGGTCCCCTAGCTCGTCTACACCCAGTCCAGACCCCGTGGCGGCGCCTTCCTGACCCCACAACATAGCCAGACGAGGCGTGCGGGCGGGCGGCTCCTCGCAGCGGTCGATGGGGCGGGCACCTGGCCACGTTTCTTCCCAACCAGCTAGCCAGCGCTTGGGGTCTACACCTTGCCCTTCTGGGCCCTCACGGACGACGGGCTCCACACTGCTCCTTCTCCCCGCTACCGCGGGCCCTGGGGCCCTGATCGCCGTACTCACCGGCCTGGACTCGGTTTCCATCTTCCTCTCCCCTCTTCAGAGACGACGGGTAGGGAAGCGAAGTTTAAAGTTTGAAACCACCTTCACGCCAAGGCAGCAGCGTGCGTGTCCTGGCGGGGACTCTCGCCCCCTGGCGGGAAGAGCGGGGGTGGCAGCTGTAGGGGAGCAAGACCCTGAACCTGCCACCTGGCGGATGGGGAGGAGCAGACGGCGTCGCCTCGGGTGGCAGGTGGCGGTGCGGGCGGGCGCCGCAAGCCGAAGAGTGGCGCGGGCGGGCGAGTTTCGGCTGTGGCCCTGGGACTCCTAGCCGGGGCGCCTCAGGGGCAGAGCGCACAGCACAGCGTGGCGGGCGTGGGGCGTGCGGAGCGAGGGCTCGGTTTTAGGACCCCTCTCGCCTGCTCTCAGACGGCTGGGGAGGAGAGAGCGAGCGGTCAGGCAAAGCTCCATGCACCGCACGCCTTCCCCTCTCCTCCACTTGAGAATAGTCGGCCTCTGGGACTGGTGGGTTTCGAGAGATTGAGGTGACCTTAAGGCTTTACTGAGGTGGAAGAAGCCGGTTGACCGGTGACTTCCGAAGACTGGTGTAAAGCGAAGAAAGTTCCAGAGTCAAACTCTGACCCTCGGGGCCTGACGCGCCAAACTCGGGGGCTCCCGAGAAGCCGCAGACGCAGCTCTCCACCTGTTGCCGCCGTCACTCATCCCTCCGGGCGGGCGGGGCCGTGCGGGTGGCTTGTTCAGGATCTGCGGCTCAGCCCAGTCGGGCTCCGGTGCCGGCCTTGGCTCCTCTGAGTGCCTCCAGCAGCCGCACGGCGCCGAAAGGGGGTCCGGGACGAAGCCACCCGCGCGGGGGGCGACTTAGCGGGTCCAGCCTCCAGCAACCTTGGGATCGCCTTTGAAAGAAAATTTGCTTTGTTTTTAAATTAATGGATTAATTATTTTTAATTTTGAGACGGTGTCTCGCACTGTGGCCCAGGTTGGAGTGCAATGGCGCGATCTCAGCTCACTGCAACCTTTGCCTTCCGGGTTAAAGCGATTCTCCTGTCTCAGTCTCCCGAGTAGCTGAGATTTACAGGCCCCCGCCACCACGCCCAGCTAATTTTTGTATTTTTAGTGGAGACTGGGTTTCACCATGTTGGCTAGGCTTGAACTCCTGACCTCAAGTAATCTGCCCGTCTCGGCCTCTCAAAGTATTGGGATTAGAGGCGTGAGCCGCCACTCCCGGCCAGTTAACTATGTAGACACGAAGGCTCACTCTGTCGCCCAGGCTGGAGTGCAGTGGCGCGATATTGCTCACTTCAGCCTCAACCTCCCAGGCTCAAGTGATCCCCGCACCTCAGCCTCCTGAGTAGCTGGGACCACAGGCAGGCCCGCGCCACCAGGCCTGGATGAAAGAAGACTGCTTTGTAAAGAATATGTATTTCTATTAGGTAGCTAAAATGATTACAACTGGATAAACTTATAGTAATGATTATCATTATTATAGCTGCCATTTATCAAGTACTCATTTCACTTCAGGCACAATGATTTATGACCAGCATCATTTAATCTTTTTTTTTTTTTTGAGACTGAGTTCTGCTCTTGTTACCCAGGCTGGAGTGCAATGGCGCGATCTCGGCTCGCCACAACCTCTGCCTCCTGGGTTCAGGCAATTCTCCTGCCTCAGCCTCCTGAGTAGCTGGGATTACAGGCACACGCCACCGTGCCCAGCTAATTTTTTGTATTTCTAGTAGAGACGGGGTTTCACCTTGTTGAACAGGATGGTCTCAATCTCTTGACCTCGTGATCCACCTGCCTCGGCCTCCCAACATTTAATCTTTTCATTCTCACAGCAACCTTTCAGTTAGATGCTCCAATTGTCGCCATAGTATGTGATGAAACAGAGATTTGGAGGGAAGGTAATTTGGTCATGATCTAAAGCTGTAGGAGATTTGACCCTGGGTCCCCCTCCCCTGCCACAGTTCTTGATCTTAACACTTTTGCCATATATTTTTAAAGAATCAGCAGTAACAACTGTTAAAAGTTATACCGGTAATAACTATTGTACACACTACCATAAAAGTTTGACTTTGGTTACTTTGCCTTCAAGATATAGAATTAAAAAAAGAGTGACTATATTAATTTTTAATTTGTTCAAAGATTAGCTCTTCATATTATTTACCCAAAATAAAATGGGAAACGATTTTTGTGTATCTTACCCAAAGAATCCTATGTCATTGTACATTTCTGTATGCAATTTAAGCTCATTTTCTCAGGTTTAAGTCTCTGTGGAAATAGAGAATACAAACCTATTTAGATGAAAATTCATATTCTAAAATATGATAATTTTATTGTCCAATCCCATTAGAATTGATCTTCTTTGGGCATTTTTACCCCCCAAGACTGTTGATGGATTTGGATAGGTGTTACTATCCTCTCTTGCCCAAATATTTTTTGACTAAAACCATTTATTTCAAGGATAACATTCTCTTAAAAAACATATTCCGCAGTAGGTTTTTAATCTGACAAAAATTAACTTAGGGAACACTAACTGTATTTCAAGGCTGGTGTTGGGTACTATAGGGATATACTCTATTTTCAGTATGGCAATTCTCTATTCTACTCCTTACTATTAATTCTTACACCAAAAGGAATGTTCAACTTAAAACTTGGATAAATCACATAAAATTATACGATGAACCCCAATTTAGCAGACACTTAAAGAGTTTCTATTCTATGCAGTACATAATGAAATATAATATGGGAGATATGAAGATGAAGAACAGGGGTGTCTAATCTTTTGGCTTCCCTGGGCCACATTAAAAGAAGAAAAATTGTCTTGGCCACACATAAAATACACTAACCCTAACCATAGCTGATGAGCTAAAAATAAAATCACAAAAAACTCATAATGTTTTGAGAAAGTTTATGAATTTGTGTTGGACCACCAGTTGGACAATCTTGATCAACAAGGTCAAAACTTTGTTCTCAAAGCATTTTAAATCTAGAAGGTAGAAAAAACAAATTATTCAAAACAGTAACTATAAATAACTATACTTATAAGAAAATAAAATTACAAGTATGACAGGGTAAGTGATATATGAATTATAATCAATAGTCTTTGGGAGCACAGAGGATAACATCATAGAGCACAGTGTCCAGGGCTGGGTAAGGGCATCTTCAAGGCTGGAGTGCTGGTCTGGGCAGAAAAATTGAGGGAAAATACTGAGCCTGTATCAGGTACCCAAAGCTGGGCTAGCCACACTCTTTTTAAGTGTTAGTTCTCTCTTTTTCTTAGTCTCTCTTTTTCTCTATCTCATTGGAAACCTGAGTCTTAGGCAAAAGTGGCTCTCGTGGTCGCATTGTTAGTAAGTGGTGGATGCCATTTTCAAAACTTAGTTCAATTTGACTCTGTTGTTCAGGCAGGGTGCACTCTGCCATGTTACTTATACTTTGTGGCAATAAAGATAATTTTATTCTGGAGACCTTTGTAAATAGGGGGCCATTAAAGATGTTTGAACCAGGAAGTTGTATAATCTGAGCCAAGTTTTAGTAAGATATTTTCATGTCAAAGAAGAGTTTTTTAGGGACACAGACTGGAAACAGAGAATTGAATTTGGAGGAGAAAACAACTCAAGTGAAAAATAATGGGGACCTGAACAAAGGTGATAGGAGTGAGAATCAAACACTGGGAAAGGGTTAAAGAGATACCAGTGAGGAATTGAGACTGTTGGGAATGGGTGATGATGGAGAGGGATTGGTGAGACTCATTCAAAAATCTGGCTTCACATATTAGAGATGCTGTTTACCAATATAAACATAAAAGTATAGCACATTACAAATTGCAAACCTAAATATCCCATTTTTTAAAGTTTTCTGCCAGCTTCCCAATGTTTCTCATCTTTTTCCTTCACACAATCTGTTCAGAACATAGTCTTTGTTTCAGGGATTTACCCAAACCTCCCCTTCTTGCTTGCATTCCCTAGCTGGCAGTTCTTCCCTTCTTGCCTCTTGAGTTTTCTAACTTCAGATTATAGCTCCTAATATCTACTTCTGGCTCTCATTTTCTTGATAACCCTTGGGATGCATTCTCTAGTTCATAGATGTGGATAACCATCGTATGCCTCCTGTGGGAAGGCTTTATGCATGGCATAAAGATACAGCAATGATTAAGGCCTAGTTCTTGCTCTGGTAGCAAGACCTAGTGGCAGCCTATGGTCTAGTGCCAGAAGCAGCTAAGTAAGTAGAAAGTTTATACATTCATTGTGCTAAGCATGGCAGTAGAAGAGTTGCCAGGTACAGAGATAGCCCAGACCAGGGAGAGATTTGACTTGATAGATAAAACAACATGAAAATATGTGTTTAGAAGATGCCTTTGTTTCCATTTCATTTTTTTCTTGTTTCCAGGTCTATAAACGTATTGTTTCATTTGGAGGATTGTAGATGCTTTCTTTCTCTCCATAATGGTTGGATGTTTGAAATAGGAGAGGTGAGGGACAGAGTTAAAAAAAAAATCTGCCTTAAGGAAGCAAAGAGGACAGCTCAGATCTTTTCTCCTACAAGAAACACAACACTTACTCTTGGAGAGGGTGTTACAGAGACAAACACTAGAACAATATTTGATTTATTGGATTTTTTTGGTAAAAATTAGTTCATTTATTTACTTACGCTGTTTACGATGAGCACTACTTAGAAACAAGAATATACAATATAGAACCTACTGCATAGCATAAAGTATGAACTCAAAAATATTTGTAGAATAAGGGAATAAATAAACAGATAAGTCTCACCTCATAACACACTTTATCCAAGCCCCCACCAATTTACTCTTTTTTTAGACACTTGGACCATTAAGAGGCTCACCAGATGGATTATCCTCTAATCCTTATCAGTAGAGTGAGATCTAATACTTAGCTTTTTGTCCCTAACTCGCAGAAGGACTTTCGGATATCTTTACCTGTAAAGGAAAGTTTTAGTTGTGATGCTTAGTAACAGGTGGCTTTTTAAAAATGAGGTAAAAACAAGCAGACTTCTTGGTACTTCAGACAGGCTAGCTCATGGCTAGAACACAGCTGTCCTTCTGGACCACTATGACATCCTTCTGGATTAAGAGTGAAGAACAATTAATTATTGCCAGAGAAGCATTTTCTTTGTTCTTTTTCCCCTCAATGGCTATGTGGATTTTAAATTTTAATTGATTTCTCCTGATTGATTTTCACATTAGCAGTTTATGAGAGAACAGATTGCTTTTCATTAGCACACTGTAAGTTCTCACTCTCGGAAACTTCTGCCATCCTGGTGGTAGGCAAATCTAAAAATCTCACTGGTTGGTTCTTTAAAAGCGCTGATGTTCTGTGGTTCTTTTCTTTTTTAATTGATAAATAAAAATATATTTTTTAAATTTTTTATTGCATTCTAGGTTTTGGGGTACATGAGCAGAACATGCAAGACAGTTGCGTAGGTACACACATGGCAGTGTGTTTTGCTTCCTTTCTCCCCTTCACCCACATTTGGCATTTCTCCCCAGGCTATCCCTCCCCACCTCCCCCTCCCACTGGCCCTCCCCTTTCCCCCCAATAGACCCCAGTGTTTAGTACTCCCCTCCCTGTGTCCATGTGTTCTCATTTTTCATCACCCGCCTATGAGTGAGAATATGCGGTGTTTCATTTTCTGTTCCTGTGTCAGTTTGCTGAGAATGATGTTCTCCAGATTCATCCATGTCCCTACAAACGACACAAACTCATCATTTCTGATTGCTGCATAATATTACATGGTGTATATGTGCCACAT